GCCTGAGCGCAAACTCCCTTGGATCCAGGTCAAGGATGTATTGAAAAATTGTGTGCTCCTCCGTTGAGGTTAGTTTCCGGCAATTAGGCGTGGTCTGAGGTCGAAAGCTGCGACCAGATGCCCGGTAGGCAAGCGTTGAATTTGGTACGCTGTAAGCTTCTGCAGCGCGTCCGAGGCTTTTAAATTGGTTCGATCTGCAAGCTTCAAGGGCAAGTTGGATTCGGCCTTCTTGCTCAGCTAAAATCACGTTGTTCTGTTAAGACATGTCGCGTTGAAAGATGGGGTGGTTGTGCCAAGAGATTTTGTCCCGCTCGGTGGGTTGTCCCGCTCGGTGGTGGATTACGTTATAGGTATTAATGTTTAAAATGCACACACAACAATAACTGGTTGTATAGTGTAGCGGTCATCACATCGGATTCTGATCACTTTAAGTGAACATTCCGGGAACCCCGGTTCGATTCCGGGTACGACCTCATCGTAATCTTTTTTTGCTTTTGCTGTCAGCAAGCGCGCTTGCACCTCGGGGATGGATGCATTCTAATTTTTTGCAGGTGGTTGGAACGTGCTTGCTTCTTGGCGGTGCACACACAACGTCAAGGCTTTCGTCATCCTACAGACAGTTCGCCGTATCTGATGGTTTCTAATGGTTTCTAACCTATCCTCATAGCTTCATGTCTACTACCATCTCCGCCATCATACATTCCGCCTTCTGATCCTGCATGATATCGCTGTTTTCGGTGGCATTGTGCCATACCCAAAATACTTCATGTCCCGCTCCAAGCATACATCCCCGTCTCCTACCGCCTCCACATCAAAACGCGTTGCGAGATGAGCGAACGTCAGCAGGACTTGACGCTTGGCGATGTGACGGCCTGGGCATAGATGCTCGCCCATACTGAAAGCCGTCCATTTACCGCCACTCAGATAATCCATCCTGAACCTCGGAGCGCTACCGTCTTCTGGATACTCCAAGAATCGCTTTCCCCAGAACTCGGTGGCAGGTGGGATGTTGGGATCGTTGTCGGGGTTCCAGTTCCCCTCGTTCATATGCTGAGACCAACTGGAGACCAGTACAGTGCTGCCGGCAGGTACAAGCTTGTTGCCCAGTTCGGCGTCCCGTGTTGTCTCGCGCATGACGAAAAGCGCGACATACATCCTCAATGTCTCCATGAAGATCGACTCCAGGAGCGGGGATGATATCAACTTCTCAACATCGAATCGCCGATTGCCGCTTCTATCTACTGTCATAGATTTGTTCACTTCTTCAAGAGCTTCGGGGAATAGCTCTTTGTTGCGCCAAGTTTCAGCGAAGTACCAGAAAGATACCTTGACCGTATTGGAGTTGACACTGGCGTTCGTTAGCGCTGTGGCTGTCCCCACGAAGTCATCACGTACCCGAACATCAGCGAAAAGTCCGAGCTGGCTCGCGCCCATTCGGTCCACTCCTCAAAGCGTTGAAACACGCTGTTCCGCACAGTGTTGATCTTGAACCCAGCGTGGCGGCTCCACAGAGGAATCTCTCCGCCTTCTTTCTCGGCCTTCTGGAACGCCTTCGCCCTCCATTGCTCGAACGCTCGATAACACCTGTCCCGGACTCTATATGGCTTTGGGCTCAACCAACGCGGGATACGGTTAGCGAAGAAACCAATGTTGCTGTCGTGCTCCCAAAACTCCTGTTCTAGCTGCGGCTGACTGAGTAAGAGGTTGGGACCAAAGAACGAATCCGTAACCGCTTTTGTAACAATTCCACGCACAAACAAATAAAGGTTCGGGATTGTGGCCCATTCGCCACTCTTTGGCACTTCGCACGTCTCCAAGTTCTTCGTCAGAGACTCTTCAAAGTGTTGCATTACAGCTGCAATAGCGGGTGGCTTGACAAGCTCATCGTTGGCCCTGTGCTCCATGTAGTTGTACCTTCGATGCGGCGAAACCTTGCTACCGGCTAAGGGCTTCACACTGAACCCGGAATCATCCTCCTGGATGAGACGAAGAACCGGCTTTGGCACGCCGAAAACATCTCTTTGAACTAGGGTCTTCATGGCGACAAAGTCGTATGTCTTGGGGTTCATGAAAACGGAAACGATTTCTGACGAACCGGTCGGAACATAGATGTCGCCTACAGGGGTCGTGAAGCGCAGGACTTTGGGAACCCTTGGATCCCTGACGAGGTCAGTGATTGTTAGGAGCAGGTCGGGTGTACTTGTGAACTTACGATAATATTGCAGCGATCTTCGTCGGTTGCCGTAAGAACATCAGGCCGTGGCCAAGCAACGGTAGTGATCCTGGAGCAAGGTCCGGCAGATTTTTGTTATTGCGGAGTTTGGTGTAAAGCCATTGCAGAAGCAGTACCATTATGGTCAACCCGGTCAACACGTACTTCATGTCTGCGACGCCTGTCATGCGGAACAGAAGAAAAGATGGGATATAACTTTTGAGGTGTTGGGACTTGGCTCATGTATGCTTCGAAACTATTCCAAGGGTTCGCGCTAAGACAAAACATACGATAGTGCAGGGGTAATGTGGGCCTGATCCGTTAAGGCCTCCCGTCACAGAGTTGCTATATCCCGCTCATTATTCGTTATCTGTCTTAACCTTTATCGGGCGTATGAAAACGCTAGGTAAGCGAAATAAGTTCGTATACATGGCTTGAGCTTCCACAGGTAGGTGGATGAATGGCTCGGCAATTCGATACTTTACGCCCTGTCTTCTCTGTCATCTGCTCTTGCCCTAAGCCATGATTGCGACAACCCGCCTAGCACGAGAGTATACGCCGCCAATACGCCTAGGCGCAAAACAATCCCCTTTATTGTTTCGCAACATGATCAATGTGCGGACTGGAAGAAGCGTCTGTTGCTAGACAGTAAGTTGTCTGCCATGGAAGGGGGTCCTGTCCGAGACGTATATTGACGTACGCCTCCGTATGATTGGGCATAGGGCGATAGACTCCAGCGCCCCCTGCAGCGCTCCGAGTTCTCAACGCCGCATAACTGTTACGTTTCTAGGATTAGGCCAAGTACATTGACAACAACGTACATCTTGAGTCATATGCACCAGGCGCACGCTGCACCGAGCTAGGTCGCATCAACTCACCTTGTTACAACAGAAGAACCGACCATCACGTCAACAACCCTGGAAAGACTAGGCCAACACAGCGCTCAGCCTCACCGAGAGGAAGTGTGCCTCAGGGTCATCATCCCACATACGGACATATCTAGTATCCTATCATATGTTCTATCGTACACTCAAAAAAGCTTCCCGGAAGTACAAACACTATATCAGAAGTAAGAGTGCGTCGTTGCGTGCGGCTGTGTAATATTCCCGAGCGGGGAGGCTTGCAGGGCATGGAAAGATCCGCCGAGCTCAGTCCCAAAGAGTAGGACGTTATCTGAGTCTAGGGGCCAATGGGGCCAAAATTGATTCTTATTGCAAGAGGGATGCTGCGTACAGTGCTTCGATTGGTCTTTTGTCGCGCAGGTTCCTGATTAAAAAGAAGGCAAACTTGCATACGGGACGTCTGAAAAGATGCAACCGTGGTGCGCAAAAATTCGCGCACCCCAGGATATGCACAGTCAACCGGCTGTATACTAACAGCTCGGTAGTGATCACCAAGAATAAAGCAAGCGATGTGCGCACAAACTTTGTAAGCCGAATCTTGGTATTTCTACTGAGTTCCTTATTCCTTCCTCCAATATATCCAAGATCCCAGCCGAGTATGTGAAGCGAGGAATGTGGGTGGATGTCGCAAGCGGCCAGGCCATGGGCCGCGTTATTACAACGGATATGAGAACGAGCAATCTGATCGTTGCCGTACTCGCAGTTGCGACGGCCATAGCAACGACTCACTTGTTTAACCTTATCATCTTCGGGTACCACCAGTTACGGGTAAACGCATCGCCGACGGATGGACTCCATCGTCAACAACAAATCATACTGCGGACGCTTCCAACCCCGAGTTCTTTGGTCTCTGAGTGGGCCAAGGTCTGGTGGGCATGGCGAGGAAGAGCGCGGAGCGTTCACCTACGTTCCTTGCCACAGGTATCAATTGCCGCCCTCTTCACTGTGGCCAGCATCGCTTTCGGTCTCTTGACATCTTATGTAGTCTCTGACTCTGCTATCGACGTCCTTGCTTCTAGTCCGCTCTGTGGCCAATTGACTGTGGGCCCAGTCATAGCTCCGGGTTCAGAATCAGAGGGGAAGAGAATCAGCATGCGCAACACTGTTTGGGCTTTGGATGTCATTGGACTGAGCCAAAGGTATGCCGAGGAGTGCTACAAAATCTTTTCATCGGCTGTGCCAGACATCTGCTCGGTGTATACTCGACCGAACATTGAACTTAAGACAGAGCGAGGAAGCTGCCCATTCGACGAGTCTATCTGTGTGAAGATCGACTCACCCGGCGTTACGGTCGACTCGGGACTCGTTGATTTGAACGACGGCTTTGGCTTGAACCTAGGTACCGACGACCGGGTCAAATATCGCAAAAGAACCACCTGCGCCGTCTTACACACCACCGACAGATATACAATTCTGAAAGAAGGGGACGAGACACCGCCTTATGTGGGAAAGCTGAACCCCGGCGAGCAAATACTACTTATGCATATGGGCAAGATAGATGAGCGCATGGGTAACACCACGCTGTCTCAAAGCTTGCTAGTGAGTAAATACACTTTGGGCTATATGACTGCGTAAGTTTCCTCAACTCCGTCCGGCTTTGGATCTCCTGACGTCTGCAGACCTTTGTACAAAAGCGGCTCTCCATCGGGAGGGCTATCTGGCTATCCAGAGATGTTGGAACCATTGCCGGAGATGGCCACAAAAGACGCGGATCTGTTCCTGATATGGATCACCAAGAATGTGGTACAGTATGGCTCACCTGTAGATGACCCGATTTTTGCTGCGCACAAGGAGGTTGCCACGCCCAGAGGACCAAACCAAGGGAGAAAGACGTTCCGTTCAGACTTTCCGAATGCTGCTGTAGGGTGCAAAGCACAGGTAGATTGCTAAGATTGCTATATGGAGTGAAATGCTAATACCTCCAGCATCAATTTTGCTTCTCGCGAAAAGGCCAGCAGGACTTTTGTACACCACTTCAGTGGTTTCCTACTAATGTTTCCGAATTAAATTACGCAGAAGCCACTGAGATGCAGAAAGCGGCTGCAACTTTGCTCATCTCTTCAGGCTGGACATTCGATCTCATTACTGGCTCCAACACGTTGCGTCTGGACAAGCAAGCCAAGATCGGCGAGATCATTGCGCAAGTTCCACCAGATCAGTGGGTCACCGAAGTTCGAGCTTGGGAATCCAATATCTGGGCTTCGTTACAAATAGCTGTAACCGACCAAGCCATTGGGATTAAAGCGCGAAACAATGCATCCGATCCTATTGTTCGAGAGGATGCGAGCCCTGCAGAGAAACATCTCTGTGGTATGCAGAGGATGCGGAATCCAGGTGGCTTCGTGTGAGTGTTGGTCCA